GTATTTGAATTTTTGTGTTTGTGCTTTTTAAATTGATATATTTTTGTATAAATAATGTTAAATATATGATTGTACTTGGTAAATCTCTCTCAATTTAACACAAGCCACAAGGACAAGAATAGCTAATCCGCAAGGAAAAGAAAGAAAAGAGTACACTTTTATCAATACAACGACCACTTTCTCCCCACCTGGTCTCTTTTTTGAGGCCTGGGCAAATGCACTCTACCTGACATCCTTTCCCTTTCTTTTTCAATCTTGAATCCGAACTACTTAGAATTAGGAACCTGTGCGAGCCGGGTTTGAGTCGAGTTTAAAAAATTTGTTTCTTAATTGAGTCTAAAAAATAGTTCAAGTTCGGCTCATTTGTGAAACTAGCCGAGCCTGAACAAGCCAAAAACAAGTTGAGCTTGAGTATTTATACATAAATGAGTCAAACCTATCAAGTTTCAGCTGAGTTTTTAAGACTTGTTTTCTAAACGAACCTAAAAAATTGTTCAAGTTTGAGTTCGTTTAGAAAACGAACCGAGTCTGAACAAGTCAAACTCGAGTAGCTCAATTTGATTAACGACTCTACTTAGGATAAACTATGATATATCTTGGCTTGTTGAAATTACCCATATATCAGAGCAATATTAATCCTACATTGCATCGATTTAAATCGAAAAAAACCAATGTTTTAGCCACCAAATTAAGTATTGTGGTTCCCTGCTAATCCAATCCAAGATTGATATATGTATATGCCCTGCAGGATTCTACATTGGCAGTAATGCTCTTACGACCAGGACCCATTCAAGCATTACAATCCGCCAGATTCACCGAGGGAGATGATCAAGATATAGAAAAGGTGCCACGTGTCTACATCAGAACGATGTATGATAGAGTAGTGAAACCAGATCAACAAGAGGCCATGATCAAGAGGTGGCCTCCCTCCAATGTGTATGTATTGGAGAGCGATCACAGCCCATTTTTCTCCGCCCCATTTCTGCTCTTTGGCTTGCTTGTAAAGGCTACTACTGCTACATCCTCTTGTATTGGATCTATGTAACTAGAAGGCTGAGGATCCTATTAATTTTTAAAAACCAGATGTGTTGTTGATGAAGACAACGTTATTTTAAATCAAAACAGTCATTTTATTCAATAGAATGACATTGTTTTGGATCAAAACTATGTCATTTTGATCAACAGCACCTTTGTTATTAAAAATTAACAGTAGATGTGCCAAATTCCACTTTATCATGTGTTTTTTTTTTAATTTCTTTTTGAAACAGCATATATATTGCAATTTTGTTGTGCTTCGTGAATAAGAGTTACATTATTTTGAAGTGCTAGTAGTTGATTCTAGATTTCAATATTTACATGTGCATTTTTTTTTTTTTTGGGAGACTGTCAAAATTTTAGATTATTATTATTATTTTTTTTCTGTTTCACATCAAAGGAGTAACAACTATATGCTATTTGGTTTCGTGGGTTGTAGCATATATATTCGTTTATAACCGATGCATTCCAAGTCAATCAAAATGGTTAGGTCCAAATTTGAGATCTCGGGATAATAACACTTGGCCATCATATCCCAAGGGAAAAACAATATGCTTGAAACTTTTGACCAAACAATGTTTTTTTATAACTTGTTTCATTACTTCATAGTTAATTTTGCTGAGATAATTTGAGAGCTGAATGCAAAATGCCGTTCACTGTAATAAGATTAACTTGAAAATTTTCCAATAAGGTGGGGAAACAGAATGCCATTTTTGTGCAATTGTTCAATAAAATAATTTTTTCAGTTTTTCAACAACTGGCCTATTAGCTCAGTTGGTTACGGAGTTGTTCTAATAACGCGAAGGTCGCAGGTTCGAGACCTGCATAGGGCAAATAATAATATTCTTTTTTATTTACCTTTCTGTTTATCTATTATGGGCTGCAATATAGATTCGCCGATTCCGCTGTCAGAGTAGTTAGTACCATCACGGGCTTGATTGATATAGGTTGTGGGCTTTTCTCTCTCACCTCGATTTCAACTGGTATGTGGCCCAACCCATTTGTCTATTAAAATCCAAATATTTATATTTTATATTTATACCAATTATTACCCGAAGGCATGATGTGATAAAAAAAAAAGTTAATCGTAAATTGTACTCCGAAAGATTGTTCGAATCTTAATTTGCACCTCCAAAGATCAAAAATATCAATTTACCCTCTCAAAGATAGAAATTTGTATCAATATGCACCTAAAACTAACCGTCGTTAATTTGCTGTCTAAAACTAAATTGATAAATTATACCTAAATCCCCTTATACATGTCATTTAATCATTTGGATCCATTCACATTTAGAATATTACTCTTACATTTCATGACGTTTGTGCACGTATAACACGTAACCCCTTTTCGTTACCATTTGAATGTGTCTAATAAAATAAAGGATTACACATTGTGTGATATATTGTATTGGATATAAAAAAATATTATAAAAATATCTACATTTTATTGGACATTCAAATGGTAAATTTGATTTTGAATTTTAAAGTATATCGGACCCACAAATAAAGGGTAATATGAAATTATAATTTTTTATTATGATAAAATCATATTTTTTAACGATTTTATTAATAAATATCAACAAAAAAGGGTTACGTATTACACATGCACAAATATCATGAGATTTAGGAGTAATATTATAAATGTGAAGGAGTTCAAATGATTAAGTGACAAGTATGAGGAGATCTAGCTATAATTTATCAATTTAGTTTTAAGCGCACATTGATACAAATTTTTATCTTTGAATGTACAAATTGAGATTTTTTATTTTTGGGAATACACATTGATACAAATTTCTATTTTTAAGGGTATAAATTGAGATTTTTTATTTTTAGAGGTGCAAATTGAGATTTAAATGATTTTTCGGAGTGCAATTTAGAATTAACCCTAAAAAAATCAACAATAAATATATTTTTATTCACACTTAAAATCAAATTATAAACATAGAGAAAAGAGAAAAATTTGTAAGCACCAATTATAGTGGGGGGTGAACGATAATAGTGGTGATGCTGGAAGACGGTGATGGTTGTAGTGGGTGACGACAACCATGGTGATGGTGGTGGTGGGGCGATTATGGCGGTGGTGGTAGGCGGTGACAATGATGGTAATGGGAGACAACAAGTGCTTTTGGGCGACAGTGTGATAGATGGTGATGAATGTAAATGTAGTGGGGGGCGTATGACAGTGAATGGCGAAAATGATGACCCAACCCGTTTGTCTATTAAAATCCAAATATTTAAATTTTATATTTTTACTAATTATTACCTGTGCTTGAATGCACAAAATAATAAAAAAAATATCAATAATAAACATATTTATATTAACACCTAAAATCAAATCACAAATATAGTGAAAAGAGAAAAGATTTTAAGCACTAGTTATAATAGGGGTGAGTAGTTATAGTGGTGGTGAACGGTGATGGTGGTGGTGGGTTGTGGTGGTAGGCGGTGACGATGATGCTAATGAAAAACGACGGATACTTTTGGGTGATAGTGTGATGTGTGGGTAGTGGTGAGTGACGATGGTGGTAGATGGAGTGGGGGTGTGTAATATTGGGTGTCGATAGTGATGGGCGATGACGGGTGGTTGTGATAAGTATAATGGGGGGTCGATGACAATGGCTGATAGTAATGGTGGGCGACGACGGGTGATGGGTGCTGACGATGAATGATGGTGATAGTAATATGATGATAAATAATGGTAATAATGAGATAATAATGGTGATGGGTGGTGGTGGTGGATGACGGTGATCAGTGGTAGGCAGTGATAATAGTAGTGGTGGGGGTGACAGTGGCAGTGACGGTGACAATGATGGTGCTAATGGTGATGACCGTGGAGGCAATGTTTGGGTGATGGGGGTGGTGGTGGTAAGGATGATGGTGGGATAGTGACAATGGTGGTAGGGATAGTGACAACGATGATAGTGGTGATGGTGGAGGTGATAATGGTAGTGGAGATGATGGTAATTGGGATTGGGGGTGGCGATGGGGCTGTTGGTGGTGGCATAGTTGTGGTGGTAGGGTGGTGGCGGCGGCGATGATGATGAACGGGCAATTTTAAACACTATTTTTTTAAAAATATTTATAAAAAATTATAATTCACAAAAACATTTTTTAAAACTCTCCCCCATTTTGTTTTTTTGACCAGTTGACCTGCATCTACTTAGGAGTCAGGCCACTAGCTCATTGGCGGATGGATCAGCCCGGCCCAATGCTCCCCCTTCATACCACAATCTGGTTTCAATTTCTTATTTCTTTTTCCTATTTTTTTTTTGGTGAGTACTTCAATTTTACAGGTTTGGTGCGCATTTTTTTTTACTCAAGTAATAATAAGGGCTAGTTGTAAATTTAAATGTCATAAATTTGAATTTGACAACTTTTTAGGGTCAAACTAAATACTTCATAAATACCCTATTTTTAACGTAGATAATTTATTTTTGACTAAACCAAAAATAAATTAATCAAAATATACATAATTTAATCGAAACGGTAAAACTAAAAAAAAAGGTGGGTGTTTGCCAATTTTATACCTTATTCTCCCCTTGTCCTCTTCTCTCTCTCTCCAATTGCACAGGTTTGAAATGAACGCAAGACATGGGATTGTATTTATTAGTACACATCATGGGCAGTACCGACACCCTTCAGCTGCGCAACAACAGGTACAACATTTTTTCCCCCTTAAACTCAAGAGAAAATTGAATACAAGAGAAATGCGAAGATGTCCATTAATTATTTTTATTTCAGTAATGGTATTATAATCTAAAAAATTGATTTAATTTATCGATATAATAATAATGTGTCGATGATCGAGCTCAAATGAAAAAGTCTAAGAATTATCCTCACAATAATATTTTTAGACCACGTCACTATCGTATATTATTAAATCAATAAATTAGAATCAATTTTTTTATGTTACAATACCATCAACTTTGTTTTATTTATATTCAACCCCTTGAGACTGAACAAAGCTAAACCATATCACTCCCGGCCGCCATTTCAATTCCATTGTTATGTGCCTTGTGATTTCCATTGGCTTCACTCGTACCGCCATTTCCACCACCAAGATCCTTATCCTCGCCGGAAATTTCTTCGAGCGACCGGCCATTCGTCTCCGGCACCAGGAAAGTAAATAAGAATCCGAGCAAATTCACCACAGAAAGTGCTATAATTGCCCGTTTGATTCCTTCTGCTTTTTGAGTATAATTCTGTATCAAAATGCCCCAATTATTGCTCCTGCTTTTCCAGATGCTGCTGATATACCATGGCAGGTTGATCGGAATCTAGCCGGGAAAAGCTCCGCCGGAACAATGAACGTCGTGCTATTCGGACCAAAATTGGCGAAGAAGAGAGTCAATCCAAAGAAGAGCCGAATAAAGTCTTATTACCGTCACAAAATCGTTCAACGAATCTTTGTGCTTAGTGTCCGCACACGGTTTGCCTCTGAAAGCTTCGTATTTGACTCCAAGAACCAGCATGAAAATGGACATTAGGAGGAATCCACCGAGCTGGATTACGAACCGGCCGATTCGATCGATTAGGAACACAGTGAACCAGTACCCAGGGACTGTTGCGAAGAGTGCGACTAAGAACATTGCTTTGGAGATGTGGAAAACCTCTTCAATGGCGTTCATGGTTTGAGGCTTTATGTACGAATCCAATTGCAGGATAAATATCCTTCTGCGCAAGTTGGAGACTGTAGAAAGCTATATCCAACAAGAACCAGGTACTAGTAGTTCCCAGAAGATGAAGTCCGTGCCTTTTAACGAATTCTTTCGAAATAATCCATATGAAGTTGACTCCATCGGAAGCTTAGAATTTGATTCTTCTACAAGTATGTCTTTTTCGAGGACTTTTGCCATATCCGCAGCTGCCTTCTTGTGGTTTCCGGCGACCAAGGCGGTGTATCTAGCGGTTTCCGGCATCTTCATCCGCCAGTAGTAGGTTAAAGCCGCTGGAACTGCTCCGAACATCAGTACAATCCGCCAAACAAAATCTCCTTGTGGCTGAGTGGACAAAACAGCATCTGTATTGAAGTTATGAGCTGGGTAAGCAGCCATGAACGCCTTAGAAACGATCATGGCCACAACCCTGCAAACAAGATCCCCACTCCTTGCATAGCAAACACGGCGGCGATGAACGCCCCTCTGGTTTTTTGGTTGGCGTATTCCGACAT